ACACATGGATGTGCCCCTGGTCCCTTGACCCTCCTCACTCCACGATGCCTTCAGGCCACGATGAATCTGAATCCACAAAAACACAATTTTTCTGACTCCACTTACGTTCTGCATCACATAAGCCTCTCCACTGAAGTAGTGAGAAACCTGAAGCTGTGCCCAATACTTGGAGTTTCAGTGGTGCCAAGGCGTTGAGGCAGGCCCATCTGGACCTCAAGTCTTCTGTCCCCAGAGGTCACTCCTGACATGTCCATCATCTGGTCTGCGTGGCCCTGTGAGTCAGGCTATTCTCTCTGCAGTTTCTGGGCCACGCGTGGAACACAGGGACCTCTGCCTTGCCCCCGTCCCTGTCCTTTGTGCTGAGACACAGGCCCACCCTTCTCCCGTGTCTCATCACCTCTATGGAGATAATGTTGAGAAGCCCATGCAGCCAGCCCCCTTGGACACAGACCCTTTCTCTTCTCCTTTCTCCAGTCCAGGGAGGACCTTGGATGGTCCTGACTTGAATCGGCTACTCACCCCTGGACCAGCCATATAACGGGGAGGAAGTGGTCAGGTACCTCAACACACAGACACAGCCACTGGGGACCATGCCTGTAGGTCAGGTCCTTCCCATGAAAAAGGGCAACCACTGGGCTGTGCAACTATTATAGCTCCTGAACCTCATCTCCAGCCCTGACCCTTCGCTTCTAATAGCCAAGTGAACATTTCCACCCAGAAGTCCCATATCTGCTTCCCTCAACACGTCCAACTCCGACGTGTTGCTCAACCCAAGGTTTCTCAGCTCAGCGTGTCACCCATGTGCAAACAGTCCTCCCCAACTCTCTCCTCCCATCACCCCTGTGTCTAATCGATGACTGAGCTTTTCCAGACGTACTGCGGAGCGTCCTCTGGGTGTAGCCCCAGAAAGCAGCACGGTGCAGGCCTCACCTCCTGCTTCTGGAGCCACAGAGGGGTTCTCCGTCCTGCTGGCATTGGAGTGTGAATCAGAAACTAACAGTTACTCGCCATGTTCACTCTCCTCTGCTTCTTCTAGCAACAAGTCCCCAGAAGTATGGTTGAACTCATGGCTGAAGAGCACAGAAGTAACATTTTCCGGCGGCCAGTTGAGGCCATGTGATGGTTTTGGCCATTGCAATCTGAGCAGATATAATGTATACCACAATGCAAACCATGTACTGTGTCCTGAAAGAGAAGAGCTTGCCTTCCCTTCCTCTTTCTGGCTTTCCGTGGACTGGAATGCAGTTGCGATGGCAGGAGCTAGTGCAACCATAATGAACCACATATTGAGGATGGCAGGGCACCAAAACTAAGGCACCCAGGGTTCCTGAACAACTTTATGGGAAGAGCTGTAATACAAGCTGAAGCCTTTACTCGACAGAGAAGGAAACTTCTATCACATTGAAATGTTTGATAATTTGGGATCTCTGTTATGGAAGATGAACTAGTATCCTAAACAATAGAGAGCTAAAGCGATCTTAAGCCCATTTCTGTAGCATTTTCCAGCTATGAGATCTCGGGGAAATTAATCTTTCTCAGCTTTCGTTTCCTTAGTTAGTTGTATTATCTATTTCTCAGGGTCATTTTAGAAATAGATAAATGAGATCACAATAAAACACTTACTACAACATCTAACATATACTTGGAGTTCAATGGGTACTGAAACACAGCCCAGCCATCTTTGCAAAATGCCAGCATGATCCCATGGCCCCTCGATTAAGAACCTTCAAAAACTTCCCCTTCCCTCACAACAAACACCAACCCTCTCGCATGACCTAGGAAGCCCTCTCTCCCTTCCACCCTCTCTGCCCCAACCTCCCCCACCCCGGCGTCCTTTGGCTACACTGACCTTGTTACCGTGCTCCTTCCACAAACACTGATGGGGGGGCCTCCCACATACCAGACACTGTGCTGGGGCTCTAGATGCAGACCTGGGTCCTTGCTCTCAGGGACTATTGTCTAGTGAGGGAGGGAAAAAAGATCAAATAAACAAGACATGTAGCTAACATTTCCTGTTTGCCAGGTGCTGCCCCAAGCCATTTCTACAGGAACAGACTCTCAGTTCCTACAAGAACCCGAGTTGGGTGCCACGGCTACCATCCACATTTACAAGATGTGGGAACAGAAGCAGAGCCATCAAGCAATGTGCCCAAGGTCACACAGCTAGTAAGATGGAGCCAAAACCTCAACCCAGGCGACCTGACACCTCAGCCTGTGCGCTTAACCACTACTCCTCCTGGCCTTCAAACGAAGGTCAAGTTACAACTGTCACACCTGCCACCCAGGGGAGGCACATAGGGTCAGACACACCCTGCTCCTCCTGCCCCTGGACCTTGACACATGCTGTCTCCTCAGCCTGAAACGCCTCTTCTCCCTCCTCTGCCTAATTCACTTCTGTCCACCCTGGGAACCCTGGCGTTTGGGAAGTGTCACTCCCTAAGGGACACCTTCCTCCTCCCCCACAAGGCCCCCTAGATCCATTAACAAATTCTTGCTGCATGGCTTTCCCCCGGGCACTTATCCCATCATAGTTCCGTACTTGCTGATTCTTTATATGTCTTCCCCACTCTCCCTCCCCCACTGCCATTAGACCTGGGTGCTGCAAGGGACACGAACACCCCACTATTGCTCAGTGCACATAGTGGGTGCTCAATATAGTGTATCTGGTGAATTAACCGACTGACTGGTTGACTTACCTCAAGGTAGCCCCGAGGTCTCCACCAGCTCGAAAGCTCTATGGCTGTGAGGCTTTCTCCGTGTCTGCCGGGTGGTCTCCTGCCTTCCTCAAGGGCCTCTGCCCCATGTGGCCCCTGCTCCTAATGTCCCCAACCAGCCCAAGTTCCCGGAAGGAGGGGCCGTGGTGCTGCCAGGTCAATGCAGGATATGGGCCTGGGGGAGGGCAGGGGGCTGGCGACCTCACAGACGCCCCCTAGTTTCCCAGGACCCGATCCAGGAATGAGAGATTTCCCAAGTCTGGCCTGGGAGTCAGGGAGTGGAGCAGAGGCTCGGAGGAGGGCCCAGACCCCGGACATCCTGTCTCGATGGCCAGAGATGATCTCTAAACCCCATAAAAGCTGGAGCCGTGGAGGCGGCAGTACCATCATCCCCACGCGCTGTGGTCTGGACTCAGGAGCCAGCGAGATCAATATCACTCGGGAGGCTTTCAGCTCCAAGTTCTCTCTGCTGCCAAGTCTCCCCAGAGGCCCAGAGGCCCAAGGAAATGGTGCGGAGGAGGCAGGAGGCAAAGGGAAGGAAAGGAAGTGCATATTTCTTGAGGGCCTGCAGCCCAGCAGTAGACCCAGGGCCGTGCTGCGTGTTCTCCATCCTCACACCAGCCCTCCGGGGGAGGCGTTATCCCATTTTACAGATGAGAACACTGTGGCCCAGAGAGAGAGAAAGCTCTCCCAAGGTCCCAGCAGAGTCAGAAACAAACCCAGCCCTGCCTGGTTCTGAGGCCAGCGCTCTCCCAGGCAGGGCCCAGCCACACCTGCACTCCGGGCTTGGCCGGGAACAGGGGGCTCTCTGAGGCTGTGCCTGCGGCCACACCCAGGATGGAGGCTAGGGAGGGTATTCTGCAGGCCTTCTCCCGGACACCTGCAGGGACGGGGAGCTCACCCCTCTCAAAGCATCCCTTTCTGTTACCAGCCTCTTTGAACCCCTTTCTTTCTCTGTAAAATGAGGACAAGGACAGCCCTTATCTCGCCGGGTTTGTGTGCATGAGAAAACACACATGCTCAGCGAGGTCTGCCAATGCCAGCTGTCGCCAGTACTGACAAGCACCAGCTGTGCCCATTAGAAGCAGTGTGACCTCTCACAGCCTCGGTTTCCTTATCTGTCACTTGGGTCTAATGCCACCTGCCGCACGGGTGCATTGGGAAGATGAGACCTGACAATGGCTAGCACATAGTAGGTCTGGAATACACAGTCCTCCTCCACCACAGGCAGCGGCCGGGCTTCTTTGTCTTCGTATCCCTCACAGGAGTTCTCTGAGGACAGTCTGAGGGCCCAGGGGGCCCAGGGATGCTTTTAGGGGTTGTGTGAGGTCAAAACTATTTCCTTAGTAATACTAAGCTCTCGTCTTTTTCACTCCGAGAGGCACGTGTGTGGTATCACAACAAAGGGAACCCAGGAGCCAGTAGAAGAACCCGCTGCCTTCTGAGAAGCCAGGCGTGAGAGAGCTTTGGAAAACGAAAAAGTGTTACTCTTTACCCCAATCTTTTTTGTTTTAGATAACATCACTTTTCATAAAATTTCTATTTATGTTCAGATGTAGTCAGTTGAATATTGCTATGGAAGGGAACTGGTAGACATTTTTTAAATGTTCTCAGTTTTCATTTAGAACATGGTAAGTATGGAAAGGTAGGACCCATATGGACAAAAGCTCTTTGGGGTCCTCAATGATTTTTTAGTGTAAAACTGAGACCAAGCAGTGGGAGAAGCTGCCCTTTGCTCACTGTGCTGGCCCACAGGGGTCTCAGCACCCATGTGCTCGAATCAGCCCCGAGCCACCTCCCAGCTGCACTGTCAGCTCGATGGGGAGCTGGAGCTGCCACGTGAGCATGTGCGATCTCCCAGGGCACCCTGCCCTGGGCATGCCTCGGTAGGTACCACCCCAAACTTGCTAAATGGCAAAAAATTCACCCAGGATCACCTGGATGGAACTTGCCTATGAACAGAGCTGAGGGATGGAGACACATTTCTGGTTCCACTGTTTGAGCTCCTGGGTCCAGCTGTGCTTGCTTCTTGGTCACAGGGGCCAATACATTCCTTTTTTATTTTCTTAAGCCAATTTGAGTTGAGTTTCTCTTCCAGCAGAAAGGTCCAGATGAAAACTCACAGTCATCAGAACCAAGGCCTGGAGGTGGGAAGCGGCTGGGAGGACCAGGGGAGTGGTCCGGTGGAGGCAGCCCTGGAGCCACAGCCAGAGCGTCGGGGAGGCCGTGTTTTGCCCACCAGAGACCTGGCAGACCCCTTTCCAAACAACACAGCTAGACAACAGCCCAGGTTTTCTTTCACTTTATCATTTATAAAGCCATACAATGGATCGCAAAGAAACAAAGCCGCCGACAGGAGCAGGCAGCCTCGGTGTACAACACATTCATGTCCAGGGTAAGTAGCATATCAGGGTTTATACAAGGCGGCCGAGGCTATAGGCACAATGATACAAAATAGAAAGTATATTTCCATCTATATAAATACACAGTCAGGGCACAGGAGGAGGGCGGGTTATTCTGGTTTTCCTGCAGAGGGGAGGCCTGGAAGGCAGGGGACATGGGGTGGGCGGGGGAGGGGGGAGGTGAGGAACTCCTTACATTTGTTTTGAATGACACATCAGAGGGAGGGGAGAAACAGGGAGACGCATGCAGACACTGATGTGCTCCGCACACACACACACAAACCCAACACGGACACAGGAGAGTCTCAACTGCTTAACACTGATTAGAAACCCAACTTGGGACACCCCTCTACAACTGCCTCACCGCTGGGAAGAGCCAGGCATGGGAAATAAGCACAGGTCCTCCAACATTTGGGTCATCTGAGGACCGCAGAGCCCACCCCATCGCCAACACTGAGATTCCACCCATCAGGGCCCTACAGGCCTCGCCTCCTGATTCCTTCCGCCGGATGATACTGAACTTGACATCCTCCTATTGCCCACCTCCTCCAACCCAACCCTGAAGATCCCTAGAGAGATGCGCAAACTACTCACACACATACACCCACACCTGCACGCACGCGCACACACGTCCTGTGTTACCACTGCCAGGGGACTCTGGTCTCGAGATTCCGGGGCCTGGCCCTGAGTGAAGAGTGGCTCCAGGGCCCGGCCTCTGACCTCTCCAAGGACCCTGAGTGTGGGGCGATGCAGGGGCAGAGGCTGCCCTTGGACTCGGGCATTGGCCCCTTGATCTCCCCAGCTTCTGAAGCTGGGAACAAAGGGAGGAGACCCCGGGGCAGGGTGGCGGTGCACATCAGGGCATAGGTGTCCCACCTGTGAGGAGTCTGCCCATCTCTGCTCATGCCCATCTGAGGGAGGAGAACACCCCCTCATCTACCTCCTGGGAGCCCCTTCCTGGAAGGGCCACACTCGTTCAGCCAGCTGCCTCCTCTTCTGGTGGCACAGCCACCAAGCCCATCACCCTGTCCTGCCAGCTTCTGACACACCCAGGGACTCCCCAAAGCCCAGTGCAGGAGGGATCCTGGCCGTCCACGAGCTCGGAGCGGCTGCAGGAAAGGCTGCCATGAGGACCAGGTCAAGGCCTTTCCCAAACCCGGGACAAACACTGGCTAGACAAGGGAGCCAGAACACATGACCTCAGGGGAGGGGATGCCAGTCACCTTGGAGGCTGATCAAACAACTCACTTCCTCCCTATTTCCACTCTGGGGTCTGCTCTCCATTGTTCCCATTCCCGGTCCTCCCCTCTCCTTCCACCTGGGAAGAGCCACGTGGAGGCACTGGCCCTGCCTCCCTGCCTCAGAGGCCTGGCTGGACGACAGCCAGAAGCAGGCGGGGCCTGGGGCCGGGCTGAGCCCGCCTGGGGCTGTGTGGCTGAGTCACACGCTGACCATGCCTCTCCCGGACCCACCCCACCCCACGCCCCAGCCTACTTTCAAGACCAGACAGCACTCTCCTGGCTGACAAACGGGTTCAACACTAAACAACAGCAAATATGTCGAGGGAGGGGGAGGAGAGAAAAGGATAAACATTTACACGATAACAATAATTATTAAAAGTGCTTTCTTTTAAAGGACATCTTTGGCAAGAATATACTGCAGTGCTGCGGTGTGTGTGTGTGTGTGTGTGTGTGTGTGTGTGTGCACTTGTGCGCATGGGTGCACGGGCCCAACCTGTGAGATGGGAGGACTACAGTGTCTTCCCAGCCAGTGTCTGACCCAAAGGGGGGACCTCGTGGAGACTGAGGTGCCTTCCCCATTCCTCTGGAAAAGCCAAACTCTAGGAAACCAGCTCCCTCCAGAGTGACCCAGAGAGGGAGAGAATCAGCTCCCCAGCACCCCTAGGTCCTGCTTGTGGGGTCACCCTCAGCTCAGGCCCGGGAGGTGGGCTGCGGTGGGCGGTGGGCAAGCATGTGAAAAGGCTGACCCTGGGCCCGGGTCTGCCCGATGGTCTAACCCTCCGCTGGCCTCAGGGTGGAGAGGACGTCCAGACCAGGAGGAGAGTCCCGGACTGTCCAGTGGGAGGTTAGATATTGACAAAGGAAGGGGTGGAATCTCTCCTATGGAAGAGAGAGGGGGAGGTGGGGAAGGGGGAGAGGGAACCCCAGGATCTGGCTTGAATGCCTCAGAAGGAAGAGCACTTTGGAAGAACCTTAGTCACCAAGCACAAGGTTTCAATCTTTGGGAAGCGGGGGGCTGCTCCCCGTCTTCGTTAGACACTCTCCTTTCTAACTCCCTGAAACAGTATGTCCACACAGATACAGCTTCTTGGAGGAGAAAAAATACAAAAGACGCACACACTCCCCATGCCCACCACACTCACCCATGTCCCCCGCTGGCTCACACACCCGCTCCAGCCCTGGTGAGGGGGCTCCTCTCGGGACCTGGTGGCCGAGGCCTAGGCTTGCCAGAAAAGAGGGGGCCAAAGGAGATGGAACACGTGCACCCCTCCCTGCTGAGCCCCCGACAAAGTCTAGGGAAGGCCAAGGCCAGGGCAAGGAGACCCCTGATTGCTCCAAGGATAAAGGCCCCTACATTTCAGGCTTCCCTTATACATAGAAAGAGGGATGGGAATTGGTTTTTGCCCAGGGAGGCAATAAAGCAATATGGGAAAACAATAAATACCTCTTGTCAATTTACCTATTCTTTTTTTAACCTTTTCTTATATTTTATTAGCTTACAGATTCTGTCAGTATGTCTCACATATATATTATATATATTTATATATCAGTACAATGCCTCTCTCCAAGGGACCCCCGGAGGCTTAAGAAGCCCCTCGAGAATGGAGTCCTGGTGACTTTTCCATTCCAGCTGAGAGTACTTGGGTGGAGGTCAGGGGGTTCCCAATTGCCCAGGCGGACTCTAGGCCCTCTGCTCCCGGGCAGCTTGTTTCTGCTGGGGAAACCAAGGCAGAAGTGGGAACAGCAAGGCTTTGGTATTGTAAATAGGCCATGTGGTATATAGGCAGCAGCCCAGAGCTCTGCTGAGTCACCTGGACAGCCCAGCAGAAGTCAGGCCCCAAACCCCGGCAGAGGGGAGGACAGGACCCCAGGCATCCCCTGGGCCTTGCTGAGCAGGGCTCTTGGAAGCAGGTTCCCCAGGATGAGCCCAACAGGAGGACCCTGCAGGACAGAACAGAGCTGGGCAGATCAGAAGGCTCAATCCCCAGCACCCAAGAAGACATCATGCAGATAAGCCGGTCTGAGATAAGGCTGGTGTGGTCTTGGCAGCCAAGAATGGGCTGAGGGCTGAGAGCTGGGGGGAGTGGCCTGCCCACCTTGCCACACAACTTGGGGAAGATGCCTGGAGGTCAAAGTCACTGTGGCTGATGGGTCTCTTCCCCGAGGCTATGGAAATGCACGTCTCCATCTCCTCCAACCAATGGTCCCGCCACTCCTGCCGGGGTCTTTGCCAAGGAGGAGGCGCTGGCGGCACGCGGGGCCACTAGAGCGCAGGTGCGGGGGGCAACAAGTCAGAGCCTGTTACCCATATTCCTGGGTGCTCCTGGGGAAGAAGGCTGGCATCCCCTCCCTGATGCTGGGTCACCCCAACTCTGACCTCTGGACAGTATGCACATGTGTGCAAATGTGGAACATGGACAAGTACACCTGTTTATAAATTCTAGCTGAGAGTCGAATATAAATCTGAGTGTGAGGGTGTGGGAGCAGATATATACACAACCCTACATACATTCCCACACAAACTGTACATCAGAGGCAGAGCAGAGAGGCCTTAGGTACCTCGGGTCTGAGATACTTTCAAAGCAAAAGTTCTGCCACGTGACGTCCCATGCTGGCTCCTTTGGTTTGACAATGTACCCTAGAGGGGGCCAGAAAAAGATTCTCTTGACTTGATTTCTCCTTGCAAAGCAGTTGGGCTATGGAGACACTTTTCCATTTCCCCCCAAAATATGGGTCCCCAAGGAGGCCAGCTCTGCCTCCTGTGAGGGTGAGAGGGAGTTAGGTGGACCTGCTTCGTTTTGGAGACTTTGGGGGTTGCGCAGTAGCCATCTACCCAAGGGAATCCGAGTTATCCTCCTCCATCCTTTTCTTTCTTTCTCTCCCTCTCTCCCCTGCCCCTCCGCAATTCACTTCCCTCTCCCCATGTCACACTTTCTTCTCTCCTTCTCCAAAATTGGCCCAAAGTCCTCCTTCTGGATTCAGAGATGGTCAGGATTCATGGGTCCCCTCCCCACATGCCCCATCCCCACTGCCCTGGCCCGGGGCATGGGGTGAGTTCATCTCTTCTGGCCGGCACTCAGCATGACCTTGGAGACGAAGTTGACAATGGCGGAGGCAGGCTGGTTGGGATCAAGCTCAGCGAAGAGGTGGCAGGCGTTGTCCGTGGTGCTGCCCTGCTTCCGGGCCACAAAGCCGAAGAGCCTGCAGGGGCAGGAGAGGGGTGACAGGTGTGTGGGGAGGGCAGGAGGGGCCAGGCCTTGGAGAGGTGCCCATGTGAGCAAGCTTATCTTCAGGCTGACCTCTCCCCGCATCTGTCCCCATCTCCTGAGCACAGGGATTGGGGTGGGGGAGACCAAAAGAGAACCCTCTCTCTCTTCCACTGACAAATCAGTCAAGTGACAAGAAATGACAGTGGCACTGGTTTCAGGGGAGGCACAGAAATTCCCCTTTTGTGGTGGGGTGGAGGAGGAGGAGGGAGGAGGAGCTGCAGGCAAGTGACAAGACTGGACAGAGAGGTGGATACCAGACCAAAAATAAAATGGGGACATTCCTAGCTGGGCTTCTCTCAGTCCATCTCAGCCCCGCCCCTACCCAACTGTTCTTACACACCACACAAACACAAATGAATAAAATGCCGCCTGCCCATCAAAGGGCTGGGCCTCCTCAGACACCTGGAGAAGGCCAGGGAGACAAAAGGACAAGGGTCACGACCCTCCCCCCCCCCACCACCACCACACACGCATTTCTCTTGGGCTCCGGAGAATGGGAGGAGGGGGAGAGAGACCCCACACCTGTTCCCCCAACCCCCACTCCCTGCACCAAGACTGGAGTGAGCTGGCATTCTCTCTGCAAAACAGAGTTAAAAATATGAGAGCAGAGAACAGAATGTGAGCTCAGGTCCCCTCCTAGCCAGCGTGTTGCTAATTAGAGTGAGATGGGGCAATCGGGACAGCTGGGGATTCCGATGGAACCCCTCTCCCTGGGACTGGACCACAACAGCCAAAATTAGAAAAGTTAGGTCGGGCTTGCAGCCGTGCACATGCATGTGTGTACACACCCTGGGCTTCCTACAGCTGTTTCAGGGCCTGGGACTCACTGAGCCAGAGGTCTGGGGCAATGGTCTAAGTAGTGGAAAAGCCTGGGGCCACAACCAACCCCTGAATCCCCTTTCCAGGCTTGCTGGGCTCCTTGGTGCAGTGGAGGGCCCTCAGGGCACCAGGGGGGAGAGGCTCTGAGCTGTGGGCATGAAGGCACACCAACCCTGGCGGCCAGGTTCTGCCATGGTGGAGAGTCGGCCAGCCTCAGAGCCTAAACACCACCGGCCTCCCTCCCTTGATGTTTACGTCAGCTCCAAGGCTCCCAGGGCCAGCTCAACAACAACCAATTCCTTTCTCTGCTTAGGGAAGTGGGTCCAGACAAGAAACCTCAACCCCAAGGGCATGGAGGAGCACTTACAAGGACCTGAGAGTTAGACCTTCCTTACTTCAAGGCCTCAGGCATCCGTGTGCCTCATCCTAGTCCAGTGGTCGGCAAACTGCGGCTCGCAGGCCACATGCGGCTTTTTGGCCCCTTGAGTGTGGCTCTTCCACAAAATACCGACTTCTACACATGGGCCACGAAGTTTCAATCGCACTGTACATGTGCACCCACACGTGGTATTTTGTGGAAGAGCCACACTCAAGGGGCCAAAGAGCCGCATGTGGCTTGTGAGCCGCAGTTTGCCGACCACTGCCCTAGTCCCATCCCCAGTCGGCTCCCTGAGCCAGTGGCCAGCTAGCAAGGCCAGGCCAGCAGGAAGCTCAGTGCAAAACCAGTTCCTGAATGAGGAGAATGAGTTACAGGCGTGGGACCAGCCCACTCCTGTCCTTGACCCATCTCCCCACACAGAGCCCAGTGGTCAGTGAGCAGGAGCTTCCTTAAATACAAAGCTCTGGCCTCCTGGTTGGTGGCAGGGACATGGAGACCTAAATGACCCCTGTGAGCCCAGGAGAAGGCTGAGGCAAGTGTGGGGCAAGCTTTGAGATGGCTGGACTCCTGGGTCCTCCTTCCGCTGGGCTGCTAATTCTTCCTGTGACCTGGGCACACTGAGGTCCCCTTCATCCCACACAGCCCCGCTGCTGATCATGCTAACTAACTGCAGGTCAGTTCCATTCCTTCTTGACCGAGGTGGCCTCACTGCGACTCCTCCTCATTCCTCCTGCTGCCTCATCCGTCCTCTCATTTCTTCATTAGACAAATATTCACCAGCCCTTCCCATGCGACAGACAACCCTGCCCTCAGGAAGCTTGCACTCTGGTGGCCATGCCTCCCTGTCCCCTCGAAATGGTCTCTGTCCCACCCCCACACCCATTACTACCTATTCCAATTGTGCCTGTCTTTTAAGACCCATTTTTTTTAATGTAAGTTCTTCCCCCAAACCACCCTGAATCTCCCCCTGCCTAGAATCTATCCCATGCACTCTCCTCGGTGACATCCACAGACACGATGAGCTGCACCCTGTTGGCATGTTGCATACAGCAGTGGTTTTAATTTTTTAACAGAGAAACTTTTCTTTTTCTAAAACAATCTTATATGAAGTCCAAATATAGAAAAGTGACAGCAGTGTTTATGGCTATAAATGTATCAATCCAACAGCACACCATTACAAACTCAATCAGTAGAAACGTGAGCTCATGTTTGCATGAGCCCAGCAGAGTAAAGTGTGGAATTACAGACCATAATGGCAATCTGTGTCAGCTTCAGTAGCCAGGTTATTCCCACACTCTGCCTGGGTTTTGTGATATAGAGAAAACCCTGACTCATACTGATACATAACTGCACATTATAACAAGGTTTTTCCTCCCCTCTTAAGAGCTCAGTTACAACCTGAGGATTGTAGGGTTCCGTGGAACACAGTTTGAAAACCACTACAGCATGTTAACGTTTATACATGTGTCCTATCCACTGTGCCAATGGTGGGCCTCTTGGAGTCAAAGTCAGCCTTCTGGTCAGTCTGAATCCTCCCAGGGCCAAGTTCCTCTGAGGCACTTAGGAAATGCTGAATGGATGGAGGCATCAACCAAAAAGTCCCAGGGTCATCCCAGAATTCAGACCTTCTGGGCTCCCATGTTCTGATGAAATCTAGCCCAGCCAAACAGAAGTCCACCCAAAGAGTAGAATGGGAATTAAGGAGGCCAGGATTGGGGAAGAAAAGATCATTTAAACAACCTTGCCCTACTGCCATCACCTCATTAAACTCTCGGCTTCCTGTCCAATTCCTCAGATCCCTACTGGCCTAGTCCTGGGAGAGGGAAGGTGACAAGACTGGAGGCAGAAGGCAAAAGACCTGGCTGCCTGGTCCAAAGCTGAGTGACCCTCGCTGCCCTTTGCCTCCAACTAGTCCTGGATTCTCAACCTGCCCCTGCTCTCTCCACCCCCAAAGAGACCAGCCAGCCAGGATGGGGGAGAAGTCACACTTACTTAGCAGGGGCACCTCCCTCCGTCTTCATCCACCTGTGGAGAGAAAGATGGTACAGCCGTAATCCACTACACCTTCTCCCCGGAGCTCAACCCCATGCATGCCTGGACCTTCTGGGGGAAGGCAGAGGAGCCCCGCTATGGGTTGGGGGTCATTCAGAAAAAGAGAACTGTGGCCTGTCTCTCAAGGGCTCTCTCCCCGGTGTGGAGAGGAGAAGCAGATTCAGGGTCAGGGACAAGACAGAGGGGGCAAAAGTGGGTATTTGAGTCTCTGAAAGGGTCTCCAAATTTGTCATGGGAAAAACTCAAAAAGATGCCCAGCACAATTACTTTCACTCTCACAGACACAGGCAGATCTTCAAGCTGAACCAAAAATGCACACACGCACACATATGTTCACCTGCACACACATGTGCTCACACAGAGACTTCAGTGTTCTAGAGCTGGCTGGGGGGGAAGGTGTCTACATGAGACTCACTTTCTCTCCTGTGGATCCAGGTCACAGAAGGTGACGGTGTTGAGAGGGTAGTGTCGTCTGAAGAAGAGCCTGTGGTACAGACATCAGACAGACAAAGAGTGAGTGTTGAAGTGACAGGTCAGGCCACCTTCCCATCATCTGTGGCTGCTGTAGGTCAACACAGCCTCTCCCTGATGACCAAGATAACCTGGGCTGCTCACACTGGGGACATAAGCAATGCATGGAGACAGATAGATATGTCAGAGAAACATCTCTCAAATGCTACAGGTTAGGAAAAGGAGAAAGAAACTGGCATTGAGGGATGAGAAATGGGGGTACCTTGGAGGAGGAAGGATAGGAGTGGGGGGACATGTTAGAGAGAGCATGAGAGGAAGGGCTCTGTTCTAGAAAGCAGGTATTTTTGTCAGTTGCATTTTCAGCTGTATACCCAATGCAGGCATATTTGTAGAAAGATGGAAAATGGGTGGATAGATAGGAAGAAAGATGGAGGCATAAATGAGTGAAGGAATAAATGGAGGAGTGTAGATGGGAAATGAATGGATGCAGAGATGGATGGATCAACTGGTGAGTGGGTGAGCAAGGGGATGGATGGATGGATGGATGGATGGACGGGTGGCCGGATAGACAGAGTATGGATGGGAGATAGATGGGTACAAGGCATAGATGGGTACAAGGCATGAGTCAATTGGTAAGTGGGTGGGTAAATGGAAGGATAGATGGGTCACAGGAGGAGAGCCTAACACAGAAGTGGGCAGAAGAGTCTTACTTTCTCTGGTTGTCAGTCAGTGTAATTCCCTGGGCAGACACTTTGAAGTGAACGATGGTGGCAGCTGGCGTGGGGTCAGCAGCCAGTGTCTCGGAAGTGGCTTTGGAGATGGCCTGTGGCCCAGTGAGCGACTCCATGTCCACAGAGTTGACGAAGAGCACGTTGCAGGCTGGAAGAAACCCACCCAAGGAGACGTCATGGGGGCTGGAGTGGGTGGGGATGACCCCCAGGTCCTCTCTTCAGGCCAATCTCAAGCCAAGGCACCTGAGCCCAGAAATGTGGTGTGCCCTCCCAGAGACATTTGGGTCTTGGAGTGATGTCCAGCCTGCACCTGCAGGAGGGGACAGGGCAGAAAGGAGGAAAGGCCTGGGCAGGGTCTGGCCACTCACCTGCTCCTTGCTTTAGCAGGTCGGTGGTTGAGTTGGCAGGGCCCGAGCTATCTTTCGAGTCATCTGTGGGATCTGAGACAAAGATTTCATTCAGCCAGTAATTAAAATTCTAGACCTGGAAAGGCTCCCCAGTCTGGAAGGGCCTACGGTGAGCTCTACAAATGCTTTGTGCAATGGATACTGCTTTTCATATCAGACACTGGCAGCCGGTACGTGCGTGTCCAGTTGGAATGGTCAATAACTGCTTGCTGGTTGAGAGCTCTAGATTCCAACAGAGCTGGGTTGAGACTCTCAGCCCAGGACCTGCTAAGTATCTATAAAGTGGAAATGATGGTGATAGAAGTGTTTCAGTGGGTTTTTTAAATGCTCCATGTACAGTGTTAGCCCAGTGCTAGGCATAAAGCATGACTTCAAGTGGCAGTTGGTGGTGTTGTTCTTTTGTATTGATGTCTGTGTAGATCGATAAATGCCCTCACTCATTAAACACTTAAATAGCACAATTATAATTTCAATATTAAAAAGCATCAAGTACCATTTACACCAGTGTTTTTCAGACTTTGCTGTACAGACTTGTTAAAACCAGAGAACCTGATTAGGTGGGACTTGAGAATAGTTGCATTTTAAACAAGGTCCCGGGGGCGCTGAGGCTGCTGGCCTGGGGATCAGGCTTGGAGAACTACTAGTTTATACAATGTCAGTATCAGTTTGATCATTGCTGAATTACTTTGGTAAATTCTGTAGAAATATCATTTAATTAGTGTCCAACTGTCATGGTTAATAATGCTATTTAAGTTGCATTTGAACTTTTAAGCTAATAATGCTGGTCAATTATCATTAATAATTCAATGAATCGAATTGGATACATAGAGACTATCAAACAATATTGGAGGTTTTCTGTGTGGGCAAAAACCTCAGGAGCTCCACAGGAGAGGAGAGAGTCCCAGGGGCACTTCCGAATGTCCTATTATTGAACAGAGGGAGAAGGCACCTCGGCTCCCGGTTTGCAGACCTCAAGTTCAGGGCCAAGCACATTCCCCTCCTGTGGGCGCTGTGTGCTTGGGGGCTGGGAATAGAAGCCTGTGCTATAATAGAAGCTTCAATTTGAAGAGCTTGGGGTCCACCTGCCATCCTCAAAGGGTGGTACACCCTCTGAGAGAAGCTGGAATCTCCTTTGCTGGCCCCGGGTCTCACTCAGATTCTCGTCCTCTATGTCCTGAGGCTGTCGGGTTCCAATCAAACGTCCCACAATCAAAAGTGGGCTCGCTCTTTCCTATCAGCTCAGTGTCGCCTCGGTCAGGGGACATCCTGTCAGCCACACAGACTAGAAAACTCCAGGGATATCTGACCGTCCCCTTTCCTTCCCATGCAGAGCCCAGCCACCTCTCCTCCAGAGGTCCCTCCAGAGTGCTGTCTCCTATCCGTTCAGGCCAACCTCCCACCCCGGGTGCCCCATGACCTAAATCTGCCTCCCCACCTCCCCACCGACGCGCATCTCACCCTCTGGACAAGGTTCTCCCCATGACTGTCTCCTGGGATGAGGCTTATTCTGATCATTCATTTGAATTTCTTTAAGCCTCTAGAGAATTTTTTAGAACAATCTGGCAAGTCAATTATGTACATTCCTGAAGTTAAGCTTTTTAATAAATGTTTCCTTTTTTTTAAAATAGAAAAAAAGAGGTGGTTTCAAATTTCCCCAGATGGCAAAATGACCCATGTCCTCCAAGCCTGGCCCAAGCTCTGGAGTTCTGGCAGGGCCCAGAAACGAAGGAGGCCAGTTCAAGGGTGGGCTGGGAGACGGAGGAGTGTCAGGTTCCTACCTCGGTTTGGAATGACCAGCTTACAGGGCAGGGCCAGCGGGATGATGGAGTGCTGGTAGACCAGGGCAGAGAGAGATCCTGCGGGGAGGGAGATGGCATGTCAGAGCAGCTTTGCTGGAAGTGGGCCGGAGCACCAAGGGGAGCCCACCACGCCGCCATGATCAGCTTCTTCATTACCCTCCCACATCCCACCAACGAAACTGAAAATCCACTCCCTCTTAGTTAGCGAGACCCAAGGGAGAATATTCCAACGGCTCACCCTAGCAGTCATAGGTTACTTAACAGCTTTCCTTTAGAGAAAGTTACTCCCAACATCTCCCCCATGCCCCTCCATCTGCCGGGGCCCCTCTCAGGACAGTGCAGCAGAGGACTCAGAGAATCGTGGGATCAAATCCCAGCTCAGTCACTTACTAGCTGTGTTCTTGCATAAGCCTAACTTCTATGAACCTCCATGTCCTCATATGTAAAACTAGAGGCCTGATGCACAAAATTCGTGCAAGGGGCTCAGCCCTCACAGCCGTGGCCCTCACGGCCCCAGCTGCATCTGGAAGGTCGTCCGAAAGGATTAGCATATTACACTTTTATTATTATAGATGGGACAATGGCACCATGGCACCTACCACGCAGGATTGTCACGAGACCAGAAGTAACAGAAGGGACCTAGACAGTGACTTTCACATAGTAGGTGGTCAATAAAGGAAACTGTTATTATAGCTATTATTCAAATTACAATGATAACAAGTCTCAGTGGGGTAGGACATCTATCAAGAGGAATCTGGCAGAGTGAAGGGACTGGAGGACAGAGGAAGGGAAACCACTGTTTATTTCTCTGCTGTGTCTAGGACAAGGGGGGCGGGCAGAACCAAGGCGGGGGGCGGAGGGCTGGGGCAGGCCTGAGGCTCTCTGCAAGCCAACTGGGGAGACAGAAGTGGGGGAAATCTCACCAAAGTTTGGCTCGTTGGGGCAGCCCTTGAGCTTGACTCCTCGGGGGCCGGTCTCTATCAGGAAATGTCTCACCAGCTCATGGGTCATGTCCCCTGGGATGAAAAGGAAGAAATGAGGACCAGTCACTTCTCATGGTGCCCTCCCACAACCTCCCACCACCGATTTCTGACTTCTCCAGTGCGCAGGGCTTTGACGGGAGAACCCTGGAATGGAGGGACTGCCTCTCCTTTCCTCCCCCTCAAGGAAACGCAATCACAGAGACCTAACAATCTGGCTTCCCCATTCTCTGACCCCAATCACCAAGCCCAAGACTCACTCTGCTGAAGAGGGTTTAGCAGGGACCAGCTCCCATGAGAATTAGAAACCTGCCCAGCCCCCAGGTCCCTCTGGCTTTGAAGAGACCATATGGATCACCTAGTCCTGAGGCCCAGTTAGAGAAGACAGTGTTACCTTTCTTATTCTGCTGCATGATGGTCGGAGGGGGAGAAGACACCTTCATGGCCAGCCCATAGGCTCCTCGGAAAGAGTGGCTGTCACGGATGATGAAGGCCCCGGGCTCCTGGTCCTTCAGCAGAGCGATGGCTGGGCCGGGAAGGGATGGGAGATAAGAGGAAATAAGAAATATACTGGAGTTGGCAAACTTTTTCTGTAAATAGCCAGATGTAAATATTTCAGGCTTTGCAGGCCATGCAGTCTCTACTGCAACTGCTCGATTCTGCCACTGCCACACAAAAGCAGCCACAGACAGGATATAAATGAATGGATGTGGTTGTGTTCAATAACACTATAGTTACCAAGCAGACAGCAGTCCGGGTTTGACCGGGGGCCGCGTCACCAACACCCTGTCCTAAGTCCACACAGACTTTCCCTTGGGGCCTGAGGTGGGCCTCATCTCCACCCCTATAGTCCCAACTTTATTTTTCTGTAAAATATACAAAAATCTCCCATATCATGCAGATGGAGAGCTAACATTTCCTACTATCTTGGCCAGCCTTTTACTTTGCCCAGAAACCAAGACTTTGCTCATTTTAAGGATCCTTCCAAGAGGTGCTTACAATCACTGCTCTGCTCCCCCACACGTCACCAGTGACTGCTCTTCCTGTCTGACCTTGATCCCAGCCCCCTCTCTATGACCACCACCTACTGCAAAGAGGAAGGAGTCTACTTAAATTTCTTGCCCAGGGGAGGCCCGGGGAGCAGCAGCCAGTTGTGACCTTGGATGGACCCCGGAACCCCCCAGCACTCACCCTGCTCTCTGGAGATCTCGGGTTTGTACCAATACTTGGAAGTGTCCTGGACAAATTTCACTTTAGCCCTGGTCTCTGGGCTGTTGTCTAAAGGAGAAAAAAAAAGGGATATGGGTTAAATTGTGCCCCCCCCCAAAAGATGTGTGGGGGTCCTAACCACGTTACCTGTGAATGTGACCTTATTTGGAAATAAGGTCTTTGCATATGTAATCAAATTAAAATGAGGTCATACAGAATTTGAATGGTCCCCAATCCAATATGACTGGTGTCCTCATAAGAAGAAAAGAGACAGAGACACAAGGGGAGAGCACCACGTGGACGTGGGGGCAGATTGGAGAGATGCATCTACAGCCGAGGGACACCAAGCACTGCCGGCAACGAGAAGCCAGGAGAAAGGCCTGGAGCAGACGCTCCTCCCTCAGAGCCTCCAGAAGGAGCCAACCCTGCCAACACCTTGATTTTGGACTTTTGGCCTCCACTACTGTGAAAGAAAAAATTCTTTGTCTTCAGCATAAAGTCTGTGGCACTTTGTTATGCTGCCCTAAGAAAGGCAGTCACCTCAAACATCAGCAGAGTATTGCTCAAGGGCCCTGAGCGGCTTTGGCATCCTCTCCATCCACCACCAACCACCACATGCCACAGAGCTGCTCTCCTGCTGAAGGGCTGGCAAAGCATTCTCCCTGGGCCAATGAAGCCCTACTCCACCCCATCTCCTTTCTCTAGAAGATTCAGACTAGACCCTTCTTGCAGCTTCTTCCCCACAGTCTAAGACACCCAGCTCTAGTCCCTTTCTCCACAGGCTCAACGTCCCAACTTTATCGTAACAACCTTGAGAACTGAGCAGAAAGACCATTTTGTTCCACTTCTCCCCAACCCCCTCCTCATTCCCATGTGGAAAGCCTGAGCTCTGTATCATAGAGGGCAAAGGAGTTGCTCCTGCTCTAGAGCAAATAGGGGAGGGGCTGGCCTAGAATTTGGAAGCCATCTCGTGTGTCACATACCCCACTTCTCTGGCAGATGCTCCCACCCCAGACCCTCTGCAGACCCAGGATGATTTCACAGAACAATAGGTTCTAGAAGGCCCTCTGAGAGCATCTAGTCCAACCTCCTAACTCTAAAATGAGGAAAGTGAGTTTCAGAGAAGGTGAGTGAGCTTCCCAAGCCCATATGTGAGCCTTTCCATGGGTAATAGACCTTCTCCTGTTAGACCTTCCCGGGTGAGAATTCCCGGGTGAGAAGACCCAGCAGCCACGATAGCTTCCTGCTAGGTATTAGGATGTGTGCCCCTCGCTCTCCAACCTCTTCCTTTATCTTTGGGAACAAAAGGAAACCAAAAGGGGGATGGGTGAGGAGGGGAAAGGAATATTCCAATTGTACATGTTTCCTCTCCTTTCTTGAGAGAGAGGCAGAGCAGAGGGAGCCTGTGTTGATGATGCGGTAAAGCTCAGAGCATCCAGACCAGGGACAGGGGTGGGTTATGTGTCCAGTGCTTAGTCATTTTCAACCTGTCACTTACACTCTGGTAGGCTCCTGGGACCTGTCTGGAGGACAGTGAGGGGCTAGATCAGCTCCCTCTCCTGAGCTGTGCCCAGGGGAGGCCTCTGGGCTAGCCAGCTGGGCCATGCAACTGTTGCAAGCTGCCTTTCTCTGCTCCGAAGCCCCAGCCGCTGGTGCTGGGCCTGTCTAATGAGCTGTCAGAGGCGCTGCAGCCCCATGTGCCTTCCTGTGTTGACTCCAATGGCTATTTTAAGCAGGGAAGATGGTGGGAAACAGGAAATGTCCCAACTACTAGAAGTTTTGCATCCTCCGAGGAGAGGAGCTGGGAACCAGATGTCTCTTGTGGGCAGCAGGAAGCAGGGGCGTGCAGGGTCGCTGTAGAGCCCTGGCTTGGCAGGCTCAGGGCAGGACCCAGTAGTGACATGTTGAGAATCCAGGCAGCTGGGGCCCATTCCAGGCTGCCCAAAACATTCCCGATCTTCCTCGGATGCCTCAGGGCCCCGGGGTCCTCTGCACACAGGCAGGTTCCAGGTCTGGATGAGAAGCTGCATATCAGCTGAGGCTTTGACCTCTGTGTCTGGATAATGAGCCCTCTCAGCAGAAGCCAAGGGGCCGAGTTCTGGTGACGAGTGAAGAATTCAGTGTGCAAACCAGCACAGGCTTCAGTGAAGCTGGCAGAAACTAGACTCCAGTGAAATGCCCTGGCCTTGGCCCATATCACATCTGGCTGCCAGATCTATTATTAGTTATGTGTGCACAGTGGGGACCTAAAGATGAGAACAAAGGGCTGGCAAAAGGTTTGGGGTCCAGGTTTGGAAGGCAGAGTGTCAAGGTTATGCTAAATCACCATAACCCTCCAGATAGGGAAGCATGATCCAACAACTTCAATGTTTTAGGAGCACTAGTTTGGGTAGTATGGGACTGGATTGGCAGCCTGGCCCTGCCATTTCTTAACTGTCTGACTCTGGACAAATGACTGAGCTCCCCAAGCCCGTTTCCTCATGTGTGGCTGTGAGGATGAAAGAGACTGCTTAGCTCAGAGCCTGGCGCACAGCATGTGCTCAACAAGTGGGAGTGGCTCTGGTCATTGTAACAATAACACTGTCACTATTATTATTTTCACCATCCTCATCCTCATCGGCAGCTTCATCCCTGCCCCCACAGTCACCACAACCATAGCACAATTCCTTTGAGGACACCTCCAAATCCCATTAAACAGATAAGGCAACTGAGGCCCACGGCCAGTGATCCACCCATGGTTGTCTGCCAGGAGGATGCCAGAACAGAGAGCAGTTCAGATACCCCAACTGGTGGACTTAACCTGTCAGCAGGAGACGCAGGGGTGAAGGAGAGGCCCACCTGGCATGGAGTACTTGGAGAAGTCAGGCAGAGTGTGTGAGAAGGAGACAGTGCTGCCCCCACTGGGACTGGACATGCCACTGGCGACAGGCGAGGACGACACCTTCCCATTGATGGTGGCATAGTTGGGGAGGCTGCCCACTCGGTCTCCCATGGACATCCTCCACTTCTCTGGCAAGGCCGGTGTTGGACTCCCTTGCCGGAAGGCTGCCGAATCTGGCGAAGGGGAGGTGGCGGGGCTGCTCAGGCCCGGGTAGTAGGCAGGAGACACAGGGAAGGAGGGCGTGGAAGGAGCCTGGTAACCAGAGGCACTGCTCTGCCGGGACAGCGTGGGTCTCCGGTCCTCAGGGGTGGAGTAGCCGCCATAGGCCACGTGCCGATCTAAGCTGGGGCTGCCAGGAACCACGGATCCAGATGCTCCAAGATGACGGCCCAGGATGGGGCTTCCGGGGCTGGATATTGTGTTGCCATGGAGATTGGAGGCCAAGTTGCCCTGGTGGGCTCCAGGATGCCGGCCCAGGCTGGGGCTCCCTGGAGTGGTGGCCACATTACCAGGGAGGCCTGAGGCCTGGTGGGCCCCCGGCTGCTGGCCGCGGCTGGGGCTCCCTGGAGTGACAGCCACACTGCCATGGAGGCCTGAGGCCTGGTGGGCCCCAGGGTGCCGGCCCAGGCTGGGGCTTCCTGGAGTGGTCACTGCACTGCTCTGGGGGCTGGAAACCACATTACCATGGAAACCAGTTGCTGGCGGGCCCATCACCTGGCGATGGCTCAAACTGGGGCTGCTGGGGGCAGCCATGCCAGGGTTGACAGCTCGGCGGCCAAAGCCGGGACTGGAGGGAGTGTTGGTGCCCACTGTCCTGTGGCGTGCTTGAGGGCTCCCAGGGACTGCGTGGACACCAGCCGCATTGAACTGAGGCCGGGCCTGGCTTTCTGGGGAGCTGAACTGCTGAAGTGAGTAGTCGGGGCTGCTGTAGCTGCTGCCCACGGTTGGAAGAGGAGAAGAACTCTGGTAGCTTCTCTGAGCCGAAGGGCTGGGCTGGCCCAGGCTGCCAGAGCGGAAGCCAGAATCCAGCAGAGGCTGGGTGGGTGTCCGGGGGCCCTGGTCACTGCTCTCCCCCGATGGGAAACTCCCCACCGAAGTGCTAGAGAGAGAAAGAGCAGATTGAGATGTCAGCAAATGTACTTAATGAAGAACAGGTTTCAGTGAGCACTCAGACTTCCCTCCCACCACTAGCACCAGCAGTGAGCTCCACTTGCACGCATGGGAATGTCAAGGCTTTTACATCACCCTATGGCACCGTCAGAAGAAACTGAGGCTCAGATAGGTTAAGCAATTGGCTCATGATCACACGGCTCATAAAAGACCAGGGTTTCGAGTCAGCTGTGTCTGATTCCAAAGCACATGTTTTCCCCGCTGTACTACTCTGGCTCCTGAACCAAAGTCAAAGCGAGGAGCTCTCTTCCATTGAAACTGAAGGTGACTGAGTCTAATGAGCAAAATAAACTAACAAAATAGAAACAGACTTCTAGATAGAGAACAGACTGACAGCTGTCAGAGGGGAGGGGTGGAGGGGGGCTGGGTGAAAAAGGTGAAAGGATTAAACCAAGGGGGAAAAACTCATAGACACAGACAACAGTTTGGGGATTACCAGAGGGAAAGGGGGATGGGAGGAGGTAGAAGAGGGTAAAGGAATGCATGGTGAAGGAAGGACACAATACAACATACAGGTGATGAATTATAGAATTGTACACCTGAAACCTATATAATTTTATTAACCAATGTCGCCCCAATAATGAAATTAAAATAAAAAAACTGTAGGTGACTCCTTGTCAACTCCATATCACAGAAACTGAACACTGGAGAAGGGGCCAAACACCGGGATCCCGTTCCCACTGGAAATGTCCCACCCTGATTCGGTCTCCCCAGGTGTGCCATCATTACCTGCAAATGTTGTGGGTGTCAGAACTGTGCTTTCATTCCTGAGTAGCTCCAAAAACCAAAGATAAGGAAGTCTCATCGAGGGAGATTTCAGCTCATTATAAGGTCTGCTCTCCAGCCATTGGATCTGGCCAGTAACGGAGCGAGCTCCCTTGCACAGTAATGAGACTCCCATCACTAGGAGCATTTAGGCAAAGGCTAACTAACCTCTTGACCTGACTGTTGTGAAGGGAATATCTTCCATTGGAGGGTTAGATTAGGAGAGCTCAGAGGTCGAACCCAATTCTAAGACTGATAAAATTCCGTTCAGAGGAGAGTGTGCCTGGGGGAACGGCCACAATCAAAGGTTCTCCTCTGAAGTTAAGTACAAGGCCAAAGGGAAATATAACGCAATGGCCTCTGAGTTGGGAAACTTGGATTCTGCTGTTCAAGTTTTCCCATCTGAAAAAAATAAGGGGGTTGGGTGGGATGACCCTGATTCTTTCCAGATACAAACTTCCATCCCTCGATGACATGGCAGGAGAGACAAAGGTTGGCAGGGACCTCGCCTGAGCAGCAGCTGCAGGGTGGTGGCAGGCAGGCTCTGCACCAGGAGGCCCAGGGGGAGGAGGAACCCCTTAGGAAGACGATGGGCCAAAGCCTGGAGCTGGCGACTGGGAGGATTCTCCAGGCGGCCAGCCCACTGTGAACCGGTCGGATAAGCTCAGGTCTCCTGGGTGATGTGAGGTGGAGGGCCAGGCAAGAGCCAAGGGCCGGGTGAAGTCAGGGGTCAGACCAGGACAAAGTCTACCTCCCATCACAGAAGGGGCCAGATTGGAAGAAAGAAGCAGAGACCCAAGCTCTGCCTCCCAATGCGGCCACCTCAGAAGTTTCCCTCCCAACTTCTGGAAGGAATAACCTGTATTCTGAGGCGGGGAGGATGTGTCAGGCTGAGTGGGACAGGAGTTTTGGAAGATCAATCCCAGAGGGAAAACGCTAGCTTCCTGAGCCCCGACAAGAGCCAAGATCACAGCCGGAGGCATGTGAGTGGAAACTTCCTAATGGCAGGGCTCTCCGAATGCCAGCAACAGTGGCTGAGGTGAGGAAGACGCCCCCCCCTTCCTTTCAAAGAAGACCATACCTCTGCCCAAGGCAGACCGCCCGAGAAATGGAGCCGTCTGCCCCAGCAGGAGACTGGAGGGGCAAGGTGGACTGAGGGTGGGGCATGCTGGGCTCGAGGGTTCAGAATTCTTAGAATTCTAAGAATTCTGGCTGTGCCGTCCTTCTAGAAAAGCCCTCTCCCTCCCGCCTCACCTTTTAACACCATGCTCATCCAGCCCCAGAAATCCTCCCTGCACCCCTAGTCAGGAGTCATGGCCCCCTGCTCTGGGCTCTGAGAACTTTACTTATGCGCCTGCTTTGGGCACATCTGACTGATGGGCACCGTACCCAGGTCTGGTCGGGAGGCAGAGACGTGGGCTCCCAACCAGAGGCCTTGGGTCTGAATCCTATTTCTGCTACTGCTGAGCTGCAGGACTGTGAGCAAGCTACTTCACCGCTCTGTGCCTCAGTTTCCTCGTCTGGAAAGTGGGAGTGATAATAGTACTTACCTCATAGGATCGCTGTGAAGATTAAATAAAATAGCCACAGGACACATTTAGCCAAGGGCCTGGCCACAGGAAGCATGCTCTACCTAGCGATGGCTGCTGCTGGGTTTTAACCTTGGGGGAGCGACCCCGCCTGGTTCACCTTCACACCCCCATCCCTTCCAGCACAGTTCTGGGTGGTGGGATTGAGCTCAGCCTGGGGATTATAGCTGCCCACGGATGTGGCACTCGGGGGATGCTCTCTCAAGGTGCCCTGAGGAGCTGGTTTCCCAGGGACAGCATCTGGATGTTATTTCTGCCTGTCCACACCCTGAACAGACCCAAGAGGCCTACCCACGCTGGCCCAGGCCTGGATTCTCACCCCCCACATGCTCTTCCTCCCCACTTACCTGTCAGCGCTGAGGATGGGGCTGCTGGTGGAGAGGGGGCTAGGGGAGACAAAGGAGCCGCCCAGGGTCCCGTTCCTCAGGGGTGTGTCGTGGCCATAGGCCTGGGCAGCTGGGGCGCTAAAGCTCTTGGGCTCAGGGTCCTGAGATCGGGGCCCAGCCACTGCTGTCCGCACCACCGACTCGACGTAGCTCCGGGGCTCTGGAAGCAGCAAGGAGACAGAGACTGAGCACAGATCCATAGGGTGCCATGGGGACCCCATCCAAACTGCCAGGGCGCCCACCTCTCCAGAGTCCAGCCTTGGGGACAGCCAAGCACACAAAGGGCACTTCTGGGGCTCCTGCCGGCCCATGCCCGCCCCTCTTCCGCATCTTGGAGAAGCTGTGGGAGCCCCACAGAACCTTTCCATGGCCTCGCTCAGACCTCCCAGGAAAGGGACCCCAGCTCTGCCTCCCAATGCGGCCACCTCAGAATCTTCCCTCCCAGAGCCAGGATGTCCATCCCAGCTGGCATCCCTCTCAGCTGCATCTTTTCTTTCACGACTCTGCTCCCAACCCCCAGGCCCTTCTAGGTACTCCAGGCACCGTTGGAGTCTGGGCTCTCTGTGGACCTAGAGCTCCAGTCGGCCTTGCCCCTATCTGGACAGCACCAGGGCTTACACAGGCTTCACCCCACACCCAGGATCCTGAGACGGGCTTGCTGTCCTAGCAGCAGGCCTGCGCCGGTGAGTCACGCCCAGCCCCTTCATGCCAAGCACACCCAGCCTCCTGCCTGACACACTTCGCATTCCTCCCGAGGCTGACACCATCATCCCCACGTGGTGTTCAGAATATCCTAAGAGGAAGGGGGTGGAGGGACAGGGGCCAGAAAGGTCATCTCACAGATGAGGACCTTGAAGCCTGGAGAGTGAAATGTCGGGAGGCCTGGCCAGGGTTCGTCCAAGTCCCCCCTCTGAGGCCAGCCCCAAACTAACTCGACATTAAGCAGGGAGAAGCAGCAGGACGCCCTGGGCTTCTCCAGGGACCTGATGAAGGATGGATGACATCCTCCACCTCCAAACCTGGCACGGGGTCCCATCTCCCTCAGGAGGGACGTGACTGAGCACAGACCCACCCTCTGCCCACAGTGCTGGCATCTGCTGAAACTAGCCCGAGGAACCGAAGAACCTGTGCACGCCGGCTGGCCAGGCCCCGGTGCCTTTGTGGCCAGGACTGTGCTGATCACTGAGTCAGAACAGCCCTTCCCTTGGCCCAAAGAAAACACTACTTTGGAAGGAGCCTCATCACCACGGCGTTAGGGGCTCCTGGGCGTGGCTTCTGAAGTGACCTCAAGATCTGACAATGCATCCAGGCCCAGGGTCTGGGAGCCCTGTGGGCAACTCCAGCCAGAGGCTGCCAGCAGGGCCTAGTTTTCACAGAGTTCCCTCCAACCAACAGCAGGGGCAGTGGATGGGGGTGGGGCAGGATGTCTGCAAAGGGACAGCTCGGAGCAATCTATTCCAGGTACGGGGTGCAGGGTGATGTAGCCTCAGCCACCTCAGCACTCAAAGCTAGAGTCCATGTGGGCAGAGGTCAGCAAGGCATCCTCAAGACCCCGCTCAACCAGCCCAGGCCACCTGCCCACTTCACAGAAGCCCCAGGCCACATCCATTCCCAAGGCACTGGTGCTGTGCCATCTGTGCCCAAGGCCCTACTGGAACCAGGAGATGCCACAGAGATCTTCTGACCCGGGACAGGCGCACTTTCTTATAAAGGACCTGGTAGTAAATGTTAGGCTTGGTGGTCGGACAGCCTCTGACACAACTACTCAATTCATTATTGCAGAGTGAGAACAGCTGTGGCAACAGCACATAAACCAATGAGTGTGTCTGAGTTGCAATAAAACTGTCTTACAAAAATAGATGGTGGACCAGATTTGACCAAGTTTGCTTACCTCTGGTCTAACCCATCTCCTCAGCCCAGAGAGGTGTAGCGATTTGTCCCAGAACACAGCCAATTAGTGGTTGTGGATACTAGCACCACGGCCTCCTGATCTCATTGATGGCTCAGGGTGGCCTAGAGAGGGGCCACAGTCTCATGGGGGCACCCAGAACTGGCTGCTACCCAGAACTCCAACCCATCACCCAGAGAAGAGTCAACTCCACAGGGCTATTCATAATGATAAAAATAGCCCTGGCTGGTGTTTCTCAGTGGTTAGAGCGTTGGTCCACACACTGAAGGGTCACGGGTTCGATTTCGGGTCAACAGCATGTACCTGGGTTGCATGTTCAATCCCCACTGGGGCACATGCATGAGGCAGCACATGCATGAGGCAACCAATCAATGTGTCTCTCTTACATTGATGTCTCTCTCTCTTCCCCCCCCTTCCACTCTCTCTAAAAATTATTCAAGAAATATCCTCCAGAGAGGATTAACAAAATAATAATAATAATAATAATAATAATAATAACAAACAATATATGAAGAAAGTAGGATTTGGGGAATGTAAGTATCTTGCCCAAGTCATACAGAGGCAGTGGGAACCAGGTGGTCTGGCCCAGAGCCTGCTCTCGGGCCCACTGCACATATGGCCAGCTGAAAATTGGGGAGCTGATAATTTCAGTGTATCTTTAGCCTTGGAGGCTGGCTCTGTGTCCTGGGGTAACCCAGCTTGGCAGAAGAGGGCCTCACACCCTCCCCACCATTCCTCACTGCCTGAGGTCACTCTTTCTGAAAATTCCTCCTGAACCCTTCCAGGCTCCCAGCCTCACCAGGGTCCCCACAGCACTCGGCACACTTCTCTCCCACCCAGAGACGGCAGGAGGATCCATCCGCCCCCTTGTGCAGTGCCTGACACCTAGTAGGCCCTAGATACGTCTCTGTCCCACAAACTAGCAGATGCATGATCTACCCTCCAGCCCTACCCAGACGAAGGTGCGTCATAACTAAGATCTAAGAGGCACACATTCATTTTTCTCATTCCCTGGAAGTCTTGTTGACCGCAAAGCTCAAGCTAAAACCCACATGACCTCTGAAGCGTGCGCTCTTCTCCCACCAGCAATGGCCCCCGGGTCCATGTAGACCTGGGTGAAGTCCCTTTGCTCAATCTCTGCTCCTCAGGAACCCAGAGCAAGAGGGACTTGAGGAAGTTATTTGATTTTCTGAGTCCATCTCAAGAACTATTCAAAACCAACCTTTTAGGCCAAAAACTCAGTTTTTCCAAGTTTTCAGATGCAGATTTCTATACTGAAAATTCCTCCTTTTCCTGTCTATTCCTGCCCCACCCCACCTCAGTACCATGTACAACTTGTGGGCTCCCATTTTTCTAGTCCAACTGCCTTAACCACTCAGCCACGACTACTGCATGGGCTCACTTGTTGTATGGGTGACCTGGGAGAGGCTGCTGACCCTTTCTGGGACTCCGTTTCCTCATCTGTAAAATGGGAATGAGAATACGCACCTGCCCAGCCAGGATCAAGTGACAGGAGTTCCTTCTAATTCTTTCTTGGTGACTCCAATCAGCTGTTTACACTCTGCACCACCATTGCTGGCCTGTGCCCCTGCCGGGCCTAAGCCCCAACTGGGCCTGCGCCTGCCTCCCTCCACCCTCTCTCCTGCTGCTTCCCTTCTCTCCTCCAATCCTGGGGCAGCTGCACCCAGAGGCAACAGGGTTGGGCAGCAGGGGGGAGAGGTGGGGCCAGGGAGGGTGCTTCATGTAGAACATTCCAAGAGCCCAAACCCATTCCAAGTGGCTGTTGGCGGCTGAGAGCAGCTGGAGTCCCAAGAGAGACTTGGCCCCACCAGGCTGGGGGACTGTCGCCTCTTTACCCACACCCTAAAGTGCATTCTCTGCCTCCCAGGAGAGGCTCTTTGCCTGGACAGGAGGGCGCCTGTCCACTCCAAGTAAATGAAGACTTGTGGGTGGGGGAGAGGGAGGAAGTAAAGAGACCCCCGAGTCCCAATCCAGAAGCTCAAAAGTCAGAATTTCAGACCTTTTCGATTGGGCCACATGCTACTCCTCTGAGCTCCCATTACACCCCAGTCCTACCCCACTCAGCATCCCACCTGATGCTGAAATCTCACTTGTCTTTATACCCTCAGTGCCTCGGACAGGACCTGGCACATAGTAGGTGCTCAATAAGTCTGCATCCCACAGCCCTGCCCTAAAATCCCAGGTGCCACAGAACACCCAGCACCAAGGATTCAGAGCAGGAAGAATCCCAGGAGGGGACATTTCTAGACCCATGTGTCTTCCTTTATGCAAAATCGGTGCCCTCTAATCCTCTGGAGGAGCAGAACCTAACGTGAACGCCCCCTTTCCCTTTCCTCCCTGTGTCACTGAGTATATATTTCTTCCCTGTGTCACTGAGTATATATTCTGGATGTTGGCCTCACGTCTTTATTGCTAAAGGCTTTCTTCCTCTCCTTTCTTCATGAAAGAGTACCCAGTCCCCATGCCCAGTAAAGTCACTGTTTATGTTCAGAGGTTGTGCCCATGGCAACCACATGGAAAGGGACATCATCCACATGCTGATCCAATGTAGGATCTCAGCTGTGCCTGACTGATGTGTGGGCCTAGACAAGTCATTTAACATCCCCAAATGTCATCTCCTCACCTGTAAAATGGGGTTCCTAGCACCTTCTTCTCAGTGCTTCTGTGATTATCAAACAAGATGTGAAGTGACCCCACATAGTCTTGTCCCTGCCTGTTGAACCCCACTCTATACCACAGTCCCCCTAGTATCCCCTAATTCCAGCCTGCAGCTCCCCCTTGCTCTCAGCCTCACTGACTTTGTAGTTCCTACAAAAAACATGCTGTTGACGCCCACCCCAGGGCCTTTGCACATGCCCTTTGCCTCTACGTGGAATGCTCTCCTCCCATCCCAGTTCCACCAAGTTAATGTCACTCACTCTCACATCTCACTTCTTCAGCCAAGAGCAGGGTCTTTGCTGTAAGGTCACATAAAACTTCATCCCTTCCCTTCAGAGCACTGACCTCGGTATGTAATTCTGAGTGATCATTTAATTCTGGCTCCTGTTCATGCATATGCTCCATGAGGATTAGGAGCCACTATATCCTCGAAGCCTGGCACAGGGCCTGTCCCATAGTAAGCACACAAAATATGTATTGACTAACTGAATCAATGAATGGCAGGATAAATTAATAGGAGCATTTAGCATGGTGCCTTGAACGGAGCAGAGTCCCCTGAAGTCTTTCTTTCCCCTGGCTGAGTAATTCTGCCTCTGACCACTTTTCTCACAGGCATTTTTTTCCCCCATCAAAGTGTCAGCAGGGAAAGCAGAGCTTCAGAGGGTCAGCAAGGAATGTGCTTTCGTCTGACCGGGAGGCAGTACATGAGTCAGGAAAAATGAAACTGGCTGCCCACAGCCTAGCTCCCTGCCCGACCCACCCCACTTCTCAGGCCATGGCAGCAATTCCAACCCCCACGCTGCACTCCCAGGGCGCCGTGCCTGGATGCAGGAGGAGGGCTTTGAAATGGCCACTTGACTAGGAGACAGGAGATATTTCCACTCTCAGCCCCACTGCCTCCTAACTGTGGCCTGGGGCAGATGCCCCCACCCTCCCCCACAAGCAGGACCTCAGCTCCACAGCTGTGAAATGATGGGTGCGGCGGGGCTGATCCCTAAGAACCTTCCCCTCCTAACTCTGTGGCTTAAGGACAGATGGTAGCAGGGGAGGGGGGACTGGAGGCCTTGTAGGTGAGAGTCAGGCATGTGGACAATGGGCAGGTCTCAGCTCGGTATTTTAGATACTCACTCCTCTAAAAGGTCATCCCAGAGTGGAAAAGAGCCAGGGCCTGTCAGCCTGTGGGAGAGTCCCCCTCAAACCTTCCCACGGGAGAGGGCTTGAGGGCCCACCAGTCTGTTGGAGTCAGCAACCACGAGGAGAGCGTGGGTGGGCATCTGAAAGACACGGACGCTGGCTCCGGGGCCAAGCTTACTCTACACTCTTGTCCCAGCGTCCCTGCCTGTCGGGAACCAGCCGCCAGGAGCAAGCTGCAGCTCACCCCGCTCTGGGATCGGTTGCTGGGGTGCCTTGTTCTGCAACCTCCAGGCAGCCTGGCGTGGTTGTCCAAACTCAGGCTAAAAGTGGGCAAAACTTTATGGAATCTCTAGCCATCTTGCCTGGGGGATGGCAGATTCAGAGCAGCACAGCACATGCCCTCTTTGGGGGTAGAGTATCAAGGCGGTAAGTGCAAAGGAAAGCAGAAGTGGGTTTAAGAAAACTAGGCCACAGGGACCTAGGGTCCCAGTGGGAAGTCAGAACATCTAACATGTCAAGCTGGAAGGTGCTTCTACACTCATCTAAGCCGCCCTGGTGGAGATGGCCTGACCACACCAGGTGCCACCAAACCACACCCAGGCCACCCAGGCTAGCACCCCCCTGTGTTTCACCTGCTGCTGAGTCATCATTTGAACTCTGTTCCTAATAACGTAAAGGCTTTCAACCAGACTGCATCCCCTTTCTGCTTCCCCATGTACAATGTGGAGTTCATCTAAATTAGGGGTTAGGCGGAGACACAGACACGCTAACGCCTTGAAACCGCCAACATTATGTGTATGGTATCCAGATGCACAGGGGTGAGTCCATAGCTTTTCTGAAATCCCCAAAGGCATCAAAATCCCAGAAAAACAGACCTCCTATCATCTGTATTGATAAGAAACCAGGCAAGAGCTTCAAGAAGTCAACTCATGGCTCTAAGACAGTGGTTCCAAGGGGTGACTGTCCCCTTAGGGGACACTTGCAATGTTGGAGACATTTTAATTATCATGAGTACGTGGGTGCTACTGGCATCAGGCAGAGGCCAGGGATGCTTCTAAACATCCCACAATGCACAGGGCAGCCCCACAACTAAGAATCATCCGGCCCCCAATGTCAGTAGTACGAAGGCTGAAACCCGTTCCGAGCTCTGCATGCGGAGTACACCCAGGAAATGGAATAATGAGCCCCTGCCCTGTGTGAGTCCCCTCGCACTCCAAAGCGGCTTGCTGTACCCCAGAAGGCTGACAGAAATGCCACTGGGGTGGCAGCGACAGGGGGTGTTTTGTCAGCAAGGCACTGGCCGTGCCTGAACCCGAGCCACGAGCTCCTCAGTCAGGGCTCAGGTGGTTTCTGGGGGACAGCTCATCACCAGGGGGTAGGGACCAGGAGGCTATGTGCCTGGTCCCTTGAGACGTGGTCAGCAAAGGGCTGCCCCTGGCCAGCCAGCCAGCTCTGTATGAAAAGCCATTCCCAGACCCAGACAGCGGGAAGCAGCACACAGCAAGCCAGCACTTACCTCCCGACGGCTCCATCACCTCCTGCCCCCCATCCTCCTCTGGGGAAGATGAGAAGAGAGGTGGGAGGAAAGAGAGGCAGGCGATGAAGAGGAGAGGGAGAGCAAAAGGGAGAGAAAGATCAATTAACAGAGATTACTTCTTGAGAGAGAATTAGCTGAGAAAAGGGAGGTGGGAAAGCAGGGGTGAGGCTAGGGCAGCGGTGACTCTCCACAGAAGTGCCCCGAGGGGAGGGGTGAGGTCCACCCTGACAGGACCCCGGGTTCCAAGGCGCCTGGGCGTGGTGGCAAGGTGCTCAGGGCACACAGTGTAAAGAGGGCCTGGCTCCCAGGAGCTGCAGGCCCGGCCCCCATGGCTCTAAGTCCAAGCCATCCCTGTCACAGCCGCTGCCCAGGGTTCTCTCAGGCTGGGTCTCAAGCAGGAGTGTCCTGGCCTGGTGAGAGGCCGCCCCACCCCCTCTTCTCCTGTGACTGTGTCCCTGGCCATGCAGAACCTCCTGAGTGTGAGGCTGTGACAGGCCGTGTGTCTGTGGGTCACACACACATGCCATTGCGCTCCTACCTGGCAGGATCAGTCTTCTGGTGACTAAGGAAAAGAAGCCACGTTGGCCCCAGAGTCCCAGCCCAGCCCTAACATCCGAGTCTAGGGAGCAAGTTCTGGACTCAGCGTGCTGGAAATGGCCACTGAGGGCCCAGGGCCCCCACTTTCTCCTTCCCCCACAGGAAGGAGAGGAGCGGGGAGATGTGACGAGGAAGTGGGAGGCATGAGCCTGGTATGAGTGTGTGTGGGCATGCCTGCATGTGTGTGCACATGTGTATGCGTACACGAGTGTCTGAACACCAGGGCACGGGGCAGCCTGGCTTCTGGCAGAGAGCTGACCAACTCCAAGGAAACCAAGGCCAGGCCTCAAATCCCCAAGTCAGAGGACGCTGGGAGTGGTGTTGACCCCACAAGTCAATGGGCAGGAAGGCTGCAAAGGGATCTCCCTCCTCAATCTGGGTCTCAGCGTGGGCACAACCCAAGCTGCCAACTTGTTTCCAGGAAGGTCTGGATAACCCACCACCTCTGGGCCCCGCCCAGGACCACAGGGGTCCTCCAAGTCCCCACTCCTCCCTCTGGCCTCCCCGCCGCCTCCCTTCCAGCCACAGCCACTCACCGCCCTTGGGATGCAACAGGATATCTGCTGGGTTGTGGGGTTTCAGGCCCAGAGCAGACAGGGGTGTCTTGGCCAGACCTGGAGGGGAGCGCACTGTGTGGGAAAGAAGAGGGGAGGCATGGGGAGTGAGTCGGGAGGTGTAGGGGAGGGGGCAGGAGGGAGGGTACCCATTGGTGAGGGCTCATTGGGGAGGAATGGGCCACAGGAGCGGGAACAGAGGAACCAGTCCCAGCCCAGGAGCGCACAGCTGTGGCTCCACTGCCCTTCCCTGTCTGGGTGTTTCTCTGCAGTTTGAAGGTAAACTGAGTCGGGATATGGTGTCCTTGTCCAGGCCTTGCCTCTCCACCTTGAGAAAATCCTTCCTTTCCCTAGGCCCTTAGTTTCTTCACTACAGTCCCTTTACATGCCATGGTTTAACATACATGCAGGTTTCTTTGGCTATCTCTGATTTTTCCCATATGTTATTCCCTCTTCCTCCTCCTCTCCCCCCACATATAGTCTTTCTAAGCCAGGCACTTAGATGGACTTAGAGAACAAAAGAAAATGGAGCATCCAGAGGGCACATCCTGTCATGGACAGATGGAGGAGAAGGGGTCAGTGGAACCATGCCAACCCTGAGAGCCCAGGCCAGCGGCAGCCAAAGGTCTTTGACTCGCAACCAAGCGTGTCCCTTGCACACTCCAGGCAGAATTTCCCAGCATGAGGCCCTCTATTCCCCAAAACCTCAGTGTTCTAGAAGAGGGAGAAGCCCAATCTCCGTAATCCTCGGGCCAGAGCACCAACTCCCTGCACTAACCTCAGGTCCCTCCCAAGCCACATGTCCAGGTCAGAAGTGTCACATAACACACAAGGTCAGAAAGGGCTGCCAGGCTTTGTCCGACCAGCCAAGGAAGAGGCCAGACTCTAAGCTGATCTACAGAGAGATTGTTACACCCAGTCACGAGATTTTTCAATAGCGGCTGCCATGTATCCTAACACATCTCCAAGGAGAAGCAAAAAAAAAGAGCTCTCTTTCTGCTATCCCGGTCATCAGGAGCCTGCAGAAAACATGAGCTCTGAGGACACGCAGCCACACAGATCCGCCAGCCGAGGCTGCCTGCCCCGCACCCACAGCCTCAACAGACTAGCTGTGGCCCTCAGCTATCCAGCATAGCAGATCTAGAACTAACTCTGACCCATCTACATTCCCCAAAAAACAGTAAGCCTACAGGAAACCAACAAAAAATATAATCTCTCAAGGCAAAGTACCTAAATAACTTCTATATGTTTGCAGGTGAGTAGATACGTGTCTGTGAGCATAGTGAGACATCACAGGGCGCCAGTGGGTAGCCCACTCCTGCCCTCCACCTCACTTTGTCCTCAGATGCCCAAAAGATAAATACAGCAGAGGGGACAACTGTGTACAAACACACAGCCGGGCATTGGGTAGGTCTAGGCGTGGTGTCTTTTGGTCCCTCTCTCTCCCTTTACACACATACACAGAAGTATCTTGCCATAGACACTTATCAGCACATATTAATGTTTTTCAGACAATGGATTTCAATGCCCAACTTCAGAGGCCACGAAGAACCATGAAGGCTCTCCAGGCCCCAAGTGTGGGAGGCTTCTCTCGTTTCCCCTCATGCATCTCCAGCTCCCTACTTGCTCATGTCCCCAGCCTGCAGGACCTGGCCCTTCTCTGAGGCGGACGAGTGGGTGGCCCTAAAGCCAGGCAAAGCTTTTGCTTCAGGGAGAATTCCTTGCATTTCTCCGCCTCTGCCCTCTCTCCCAGCCCTGTGCATGGATGAAACCTCTGACTTACTCTCCCCTCCCGCTCCAGGGCACCCAGGACTGACCAAGGGGAGAAAGAGAAAAACGGGGAGCGTGAACAAGTAGTAAAACCCAACCCAAGCTCAGCCTACAGGGCTTCCGTCCCAAACGGAGGATGGCCAAGATCTTGGCTATTTGGACTGATAGGGAATTAGAGTAGGTGTGAAGGTGAAGGGTAAGGCCAGGGAGAGACTCCACGGAGTCATAAAAGGCCACAGAGCTGCCTCTTGAGTAGATTGCCCAAGGCTTGTACTGTCCAATAGGGTCGCCATGAGCCACATGGGGCTACGGAGAACTTGCAATGTGACCAGTCTGAACCGAGAGCTGTAACACACAGATTTCAAAGATTTGGTGTGAAACAGGAGCACAAAATATCTCAATATTTACCATTCCATGTTGAAATGATAATATTTTAGATCGCTGGGGTTAAATAAAATCTATTATTAAAATTCATTTCACTGGTTTCTTTTTATATTTTTTAGAGATTGAAAAATACCTCATTACTATTTTTATAGTGATTTACCTGTTGAGATGATAATATTTTGAATACTTGGGGTTAAATAAAAAAGATCATTAAATTTAATTTCTCCAGTTTCTCGATATGTTTTTTAAATGTGGCTACTTGAAATGTTTAAAGAACAAACGTGGCTCGTGTCTTATTTCCTTTGGACAGCATTGCTCTAGGGAGAGCCATGGCCTCCAGTCATGACGTCAGCCTCCCGCATGCCCCAGATAGCAGGCGACACAAGTTCTACTGGAGCAAGGGCCTGGTTCTGGTGTCAGCCACCAGGAGAACACAGGGCCCACCCAGCTCTCCTCCTCACACCCCTCCCCTCTCACGGGGCAAATGCATAGATAGCTTGGGCCCAGCCCAGCCAACCTGATCCCAGAGCAACACCAGTCTCCCCTCCTCTGCCAACCCAGGCCTCTCCCGGGAACCCTGGAGCCTTCACAGCCCAGTGTTGTTCCTTCACTGCTTTCCCACAAAGCGCTTCTCCAAGCTCCTCTGCACGGTCTCTTCCACCATAAAAAGGAGCACTGTCCCACTCCTGTGCTCATCCAGCCTTCTCTTTGGGTGGAAACCCCTCTGACCTTTGGGGATTTGCCTCTTTGGTGAGTGCATCGGGGGTGCAGACTAAATGCTCCCGCCTGAAGGCAAGGATGGGAGAGATGGGACTCAGTAAGCCTGAGCATGCGGGGCCTGTCTTTCCTTGACAGACACTGAATGACCGGCCCAGACGCACACAGAAATGGGCATTAGAAGCAAGAAGGTTAAGGGTTGTCTTGCTTGTCACAAAGAGTCACTTTAGGATACGGGATGTTTTGTATGAAGGATGCAAAGTCTCAACGTCTAGAAAAACTCCACACCCAGGAGCCCAGGGGCCCCAATGTCAGTCAGTGGGACCCTAAGACGTCGCTACTGTCTCTGTAGATGTGGGGTGTGGACCACAGAAAAGAAGGGAAATGGGGGTGGAAGGTGAAGTGAAATGAGCCACAGGGTGATTAGGGACAGACTGTGGCTCTGCTCAACTTTGCCAGCACCCCCCACCCCAAACCTGGGGTGCTTACACAGGCAGGGGTTGAGAGGGGCCCAAGGGGACCCAAGGAAGACAGGCTTAGTGGGGAGCTCTTACCCCCACTGGGCGGTGGACTGGATGGAGCGGTTCCCTCCATCTCCTCAAAGGCCTCTTTGTAGCTGTGCAAGTGGGGCTGCAGGAGAAAAACAAGGGGAGGACAGGGGGTACATTAGTGGCCATAACCTTGAGAAGGAGGTGTTTCCCAGTTAACCAGGCCGCAAAGCCCCTCGCCAACCCGACCCTCCACCCCTGCCAGGTGAACAGAGATCAAAGGCAGATGCTGCCCATATTTATGGCCCCTACAACTCCTTGTAGCCAAGAGAACGGAAAGTGGTTATTTTTCCAGGCCATTTGTAAGGCAAGGCGGACTTCAGGAGCACCTGCTTTGGAAATATTTCAAACAGGGCCAAAGTGAAGGGCTGGGGGCAGGGGACATGGGTCCTAGCGGAAGGCAGGAAAGAAAAGATGTCCAAAAGCCATTCATGTCCAGAATGACTCAGCCTGGATTCTATCGGACATGGACTACTCGCATCAGAACCTTCCAGAGTGCACGTTTAGAATGCAGGTTCCCCATCCCAGAGCTAACATGCTGGAACCTCTGGAGGTGGATTCGGGAATCTACATTTTAACAAACTCCCGGTGATTATTATGCACATTGAAGTTTAAGACCCAATGCCTCAAACCACTGAAATGTCTCAGCAATGCAAAGGTTTCAGCATTGAAGTTAGATCTCCAGAGAAAATCCTATACCTAGAAAGGGCTCAAAAACACTTTGTCAGACTCTATGATCTGGTTTGAAGTTTACAGACTGTGGTCGCTGTGTCACACCCAGATTCTTACCAACTGCTCAGGGAGCTCTTTAGGAGTCAAGAAGGGAACTCAATCTCAATGTTAATGGAAGACACGAGGACATAAAAGCTATTTAGGGAAGGAAATGAGCTCCAGGTTCCACATGCTGAAGCCTTGGGTGAGGATGCGGAGAGGAAAACAATTACTAGGTTACTGACAGGTCCATGCTGCCCAGTGGACCATCATGTTGCTGGGGCATTCAGATGGGCTCTGCTACCTTCTGTGGCCCCAGCATGTGGTCTAAGGACTCACCTCTTTGGGCCGCCCTCCAGGATTGAGAGCAATTGTGAGAGCCAGCTCCGGGGACACACACTGAACTGGGGAGCGCACCCCAGGACTCCGGGGGGATGAGGGTTCTGGAGACTGGTTTTCATACTGTCCATCGCTGGCTGCCCGCCTCCGGAGAGGGGCTGGGGGCTCTGCAGGCTGCTTCTCCCGAGCCTGCACCCCTGGGAGGAACGGCAGGGCAGAGAGGGCCATGAGCATATTGTATGAGAAAGGATCGATGGGGCCTGATTCCCCCAGAGGAGACAGTTCACACTCAGGGGCCATGCTGGAGCTGGGCCTGCCTCCCTCTGCACCTCCCCCTGCCTCCCTCTGCCCACACCCTGGGTTTCTCTGCAGGGCGGGGGACCTGCTTAAGTTGGGCTGGCCTTCACCAGGAATCTAGTCCGCACAGGGTTGGGGCCCAGAACACAAAGGACTGATACAAGAAACAGATGTCAACTCCTTCCAAGGCCTGGAGGCAGAGGGCCAGAGCTTCCAGGCAAATGAGGGAAGGTGGAGGGAGGAGAGACAGTCTCCAAGGCGACTGATCAACCAACAAGCAACATCAGGCCCATGGGGGAGAACTTTTGGAAAGAGTGCATAATGCATCATCTTGCAAATGGTGCTCCCAAGAAGGAACAAAGAAATGACTAAGTCTTGTTATAAAGTCTCCAGCCCAAACTGGCCCCTGGAATATTGCTGACCTTCTCCGGGGTTCCCCAACCTCATCCAGTGCACTTCTGAAACCTCTTACCAACTTCCCTTATGCCCGTCCTTGGCTACCCACCCCTTTCTTGCCCCCAAAATGGTCCAGGGTCCTACCCTGCCCCTTCCCACAGAATAGCCTGCAGAGCTGGAGTCATGAGCTCCATCTGCTTTTCTGTCCTTCCTTCCATTGCTTGGGCCTGGGGATGTTGTTAACCCCACCCTCCTTCCTTCCCACTCTCTCTTCCCACAGCTGGGCTGTGGCACGGAACACATTGCCTCACTGAGCTGGCTTCAGAATCCTAGAAAACTTACCCTCCCCCCCTACCCCCGGGTCCCAGAGACCAAGACTCAGGCTCCTAGTCCTGATCAGCTCGTGCCAGCTCTCAGCCCTGCCCTCACCCCCACCCAAGAGCAGGGAGGTGCTGGGACTTACCAAAGGTCACATGGGACTGAGACCCTGGCTACACCAGCCCCATGCCAGCACACCTGGGAACCCTGTCCCATGGCACACATGCACTCACACATACACGTACGCACACATACATGTACATGCACCGCACACACGCATATACTGCTGGCCCCTAGGAATGTGCCGGTGCAGCCAAGCAGTAATCACCCTCCTTCAGACCGAATCATCTACCACCCAGAGTGGGGTCTGCACACCACGGGCGGCCTCCCAGCTCCCGTCTGGCACGGTCGCTGAGGCTGCCATGAGAAGCACATGCTGGGAAGCCTTCCTACTTGCCATGAATAGCAGGCTGCCTGCTGCCAACTCCAGGGACGGGCACATACACACACACACACAGACACACTCCGACACACACATTCATACTTGCCCATAGTTAGGGGCCCCGTCTGGAGAGCCGCCAGACTGGCACACACACTTACAAATGCAGAAGGTACCCGGTGGTGTTTCGAGTCTCCACGTGGAGCTATTTATCCTTAGGGGGCAGCCTGCCTGCCATCTCAACTAAGAGAAAAGAGCCCAAATGGGGACTGTAATCTCGACTCACAAACTTTTATTTAAAGAAAACAAGCTCCTCGCTTTGAAGTGCCCTGACTTTCAGAATAGAAACTTGGGGCTCACATCATCCTAACCAGGGGCCAGATGAAAGATGGGGTGCATCTCCAAAAGTCTTGAGCAGCGCACAGGGACCCCATTGCATACCGGGCCCTCGGCCGTCAGAGCAGCCACCTGCACCCCCCACCATGCCTGCGGGCGCCCCTAGCCTCAGCTGCACTTCTCTCTCTCCCTCCGAGCCCCCTTCCTCTCAGCCTTCCTGGGCGCTTGGTTCAGAACTACTGCTGGTTTCATTCCTGGCAAAAACATTAGAGAGAAACAGACATAGCCATTGATTTTCTAATAATAATTGTGACAAAGGAGGCCCATTTGGAAAAGGCTCTTGGGGTTTGGAACTGAGTTCAGCCCCAAGGTTAACAGAAATGCATTAGGGCTGGTTTCAGTTCCGGCTGGCCCAGCCCCGCAGCCTCTTCCTGGCAGATCCCTGTGCCTTGGTGAGGAGTGGCCCGTTTCCCTGTGTAGGATCTGATGTCTGCCCTTGAAAGTGGGTCTGTTGGAGGCACTGAATTTCCCAGAGGAACAAAGAACCTTCGCCCCAGTGTGCCCGTGACAACCTCCATGTTCAGGTGGTTGCAATGGCTGGAGGGAGGCTGGGCTGCTGGAGGGGCTTACCAACTGTGGAGGGCGGACCCTCACAGAAGGCTGTTGGACACCTGAAGGCCATCTCCCCTCTTCCCGGCCCCTCTCTAGTGCCACCAGAGCAGCACATGGAGCGTGGTCTGTCCAGAGGCAGAGGGACAACCAGAATGACCTCCAAAGAGAGAGGGCGCTGCAGGGGAGCCTCCCTCTACAGGAGGGGAAGACCCCACATTCCACTCCCACGGGACAGCCCCTCCCCCGCAGAGCGCCCCACGGCACCAGTGCCCAGCCAGGGCCTCTCACATTCTTTGAACACAGTGTCTCACTGTTGTCCCCCTTGGCAGGCCCAGATCTGCCCCTCAGTGCCCGGAGAGCCATGTTCCCTCTCTCTTGTCTTTCCCTATGGGAGGGGAGATGAAGCTGGGCGGAGGGGAGAGAAGAGAGCCCCATTGTTCCCCAGCCAAGCTGGGCCGTCTGGCCACAGGCTGACAGCCAGTGTCAGAGAGAGAACAGCCCTCCCTCACGTCCTGGAGACTGACCGATAATAAAAATAGGCCTGCTCCCCCGCCCTCAACCCCAGGCCTTTCTGTCTCTAGGGCCCTCTCTCTCTCAGGGCCACCATGCCTATGTGCTCCACTCTCTACACGCACACAGGCACCACACACATACACGTATACACACACGTGTGTGCACACATAGCCTTCGCCCAACAGGAACAGCGGGAGGTCAGGGTCACCCTCAGAACCTCTCGTCAGCCCCTTCCTACAGCAATCAAGTGTTCTTTAGGATAATGATGGGCCACACTCAGAGCCCTTTGTAGCCCTCTCAGGACTCACACACCGTGGGCACTGGGCCTTCCCCACCGCCTGTAGGACAGGGGTCACTTCAGCCCAGGGCCTCCACACGAGCCGCCAGACCTGAAGAGCAGGGCGCCGGAACAGCCCCATTTCCCAGGGGTCCTCACTCCGCTCTCCAGATGGTGTTGAGCTTGGGAGCAGCTGGCTGTAGGGCTCCCCTCTAAAGCAGGCTAGACCTGTGACACTAAATCCGCCTCATCTAGCACACACACAATCATACTCTCACACACACACACACACACTCATATACACACTCACAGACACACACACTCACACACACACTCATACACACACACACACATTCATACACACTCACACTCATACACACACTCACACACTCATACACACACACTCATACACACACTCATACACACACACACACTCACTCATACATACATGCACACACACACACTCATACACACATGCACACACAAACATGCACTGCAATTCTGGGGCTGTAGTTCTAACACCATCAATACATACCCTCTGGTAGGGTCCAGCCCTGCCCGCCCCTGATCCCACAGACAAATATCCCCAGTGTCAGGCTTCATCACAGGCCTTCCCTTCAAGCCCATCCTGGCTGCTTCCACCCCACAGACCCAGCTCTTCCTTCCAGCCTTCCGATTTCCAGAAAGACTGGATTCCCTCAGCTCCAGGTGGCGGGACAGGTGTCCGATGGCATGCCGGGGCTCCGGAAGTGAGGGGATCCGGAAGGCCACCTGCTTGGGCCAGGGCACCAGAAAGCCACACGGCGATCACACTAGCAGCCCCAGGGCAAGCCATGCCAGCTCCCCTCAGGACAGGCCCACCACCCCAGAACGGCCCCAAACCCCAGGCCCAGCTGAACCCTGCACTCCCCACCACTGGGCCGAGAAAAAGGAGGAGGGAGAGAAGAGGAGGCAGACAGGGGCATTCTGCTAGAGCCATCTCCCCATTTTCCATGGACTGGGAGAAGGGAGGTCCAGGAAATACCAGATATTGCTATTGGGAGTCAACTGTGCCCACCACCCCCTAATAAGCCTTTTCCCGGAACTAGTCAAGGTCACGGCATCTTCTCCTGGGCTCAGGCCTGCAGCTCCAAGGAGCAGGGAAAGAATAAGGTGACTCGGTCCCCAGGTCTAAAAGGCTATAGGTCCATTTGTCAAGAGACCAAGGTAGACACAGTGAACTCCATCACTCTCAAACAGAGCAATCTGGCCCTTGATGAAGGGTCCCCCATGTTGGGAAGTACCCACAGCAGGGCAGAGATCCCTCCATTTTTCACATGGGGAAACTTAGCTCTGAGCAATGAAGAGACTTGCCCAGGGTCACAGAGGTGGTCACGTCAGACCCAGGGCCACACCCAGGGCTTCTGACTCTTGGCCGTGGGTATCAGAGATTTGGAATGAGGTCACAGCGGTGCTCTGTCTCCAGGGAGTGCTATACTCAGGAGTGGACAGAGCAGCAGGAGCTGGGCATCACTCTTTGTCTCCTGCTGAGGCCCCAGACCTGGCGCTGAGCTCCCTCACTGCAAAGGCCTGCGTGTCCACAGGGAGCCTGAGAGTTAGTCTCCTTACCCCAGACCCTGTTCCTAGCAGGTAAGGCCAAGGCTGGAAGCATCAGGCCTGTGTCCATGCAGAAGAGGGAGCACTCACTCATGCAGAAGGAAGGAGGAGGGAGGATGGACAGGTAGGCAAAGAGAGAGAAGGGGGAAGTGAGAAAAGGAGAGAGAAGGGGGGCAGTGAGAAAAGGAGAGAGAAGGGGGCAGTGAGAAAAGGAGAGAGAAGGGGGCAGTGAGCAAAGGAGAGAGGGTCAAAGAGAATAGGAAACAGATGGAAAGAAGAGAACAGAAGAAGGAGAAGAAGAAAAGTGAAGAGGAAATGGAAAAATAAGGAGAGAGGAAGAAAGAGGCAAAAGTATGGAAGAAATAGTCCATGAAGGAGGAGGGGAAGAGAGAAACTGAGAGCTGAGATGAGGG